TTTTTGAGGCAGGGTCTCACTCTGTGCCCAGGCTGGAGTACAGTGGTGCAATCTCACCTCACTGCAACCTCTGCCTCCCAGATTCAAGCAATTCTCTTGCCTCAGCCTCCCTAGTAGCTGGGATTACAGGCAAACACCCCCATACCTGGCTAATTTTTGTATTTTTTTTAGTAGAGACAGGGTTTTGCCATGTTGACCAGGCTGGTCTTGAACTCCTGACCTCAAATAATCCACCCTCCTCAGCCTCCCAAAGTGCTGGGATTACAAGCATAAGCCACCATGCCTGGCCAAAAACTTCCACACTATTTCTAAAGGTAGCTATACTAGGAAGGCTGAATTTGTGAAGGACAGCTGCTAGTTGATGACACAAGAGGAAGAAGTGTAGTGAAAGAAGAAAGGAACTGTTAGGGAGAAAATATCCTGAAGGTATGTTAGGAAGACCATAGGGAGGATCCATTTGAATGAAGAGAATGAGAAGGTGTTGACTTTGGCCCCAGAAAAGAAAGTAACTGGATTTGCTTGTGAGGGTATTCTTGGTGATCTTCTAGTAGTTTTGTTAAAGTTGTAGAGAAAAATAAAAAAAGGAAAGATGAAAATCACAGAGGGCATAGGCCATGAGAAGTAGCTAGTGACTTGGCCACTCATTTAAATAGTTAAAGAGTATGAGAAAATAGTAAATTCTCTTAAATAGTAAAGAGAATGAGAAATGGAATAATTAAAAAAGGCAACAGAATTGCTTTAACAGTTTCTATGAGGTAGGAGAGCAGAGCTGAGCACATTCAACAGGTAGAGGGAAGGAGCCAGAAAAGAGGGGGAAATGGATCCAGGAAACAGGCTTGTTGTGAAACATACAGCCAAGAGGTGAGCGTTAAAGAGAGGGGAGAGGGCTACGTGCAGTGGCTTACTTCTGTAATCCCAGCCTTTAGGGAGGCCAAGGAGGGAGAGTTGCTTGAGGTTAGGAGTTCAAGTAGCTGAGGTTACAACCACGTGCTACCACACCCCACTACTTTCTTTTGTATTTTTAGTAGAATGAGGTTTTACCACGATGGCCAGAGGGGTCTTGAACTCCTGGGCTCAAGTGATCCATCCGCCTCAGCCTCCCAAAGTGCTGGGATTACAGGCATGAGCCACTGTGCTGGGGCAAAGAAAAATTTTTTTCATTAGCCAGGTATGGTGGTATATTTACAGTCCCAGGTTCTTAGGGGACTGAGGCAGAAGGATCACTTGAGCCCAAGAGTTTGAGGCTGCAGTGAGCTATGATCATCCCACTGCACTTCAGCCTGGGTAACAGAGCAAGATCCTATCTCAACAAATAAATAAATAAAAATTTTAAAAAGAGGAGTATCCTTTCTCTGAAAATTGATTGACAAATGTTAAGGAAACAGAAAGGGAGAATCATTTGAACCCAGGAGGTGAAGGTTTTGGTGAGCTGACATCGCACCACTGCACTCCAGCCTGGGTGGCAGAGTGAGACTCCATCTCATTAAAAATATGTCTATATGAAAGAATATACACTGACATGCTAAGGCAAGTGTCCTTTGGTGGTAGAATTTAGGGGTGGTTTTCTTTTTTCTTTTTTTTTCTTTTTCTTTTTTTTTTTTTGAGACGGAGTTTCGCTCTTGTTACCCAGGCTGGAGTGCAATGGCGCGATCTCGGCTCACCGCAACCTCCGACTCCTGGGTTCAGGCAATTCTCCTGCCTCAGCCTCCTGAGTAGCTGGGATTACAGGCACGCACCACCATGCCCAGCTAATTTTTTGTAGTTTTAGTAGAGACGGAGTTTCACCGTGTTGACCAGGATGGTCTCGATCTCTTGACCTCGTGATCCACCCGCCTCGGCCTCCCAAAGTGCTGGGATTACAGGCTTGAGCCACCGCGCCTGACCAGGGGTGGTTTTTATTTTTTTTTTAAACCTATATTTTCTGATGTTTTAGCTGTGAGCAGGTATTCTTGAGTCAAAGTTCTGGTCAGGTAGATCACTTTTAATATGGCCGCTAGATGGAGTAGCAGTTACTGGGTAACTAGCACCTGTTGCCCAGTGGTGGTGAAGATTGTTGTGTGAGTCAAGTTAAAGGAAAATCCTCTGCATTATTTTCCAGCCCCAATGTGGAATGCAAAAGCATGAGGTTCAGCATGTTGAAGGACCATCAAGCTGTCACCGGCAACGTTACTGCGTTTGATGGATCTATTCTCTATCTGCCTGTTAAGCTTCAACAAGTGAGACAAAACAGGAAATGGGCTTTTAGATGAACCCTAAAAGTGCTCTGGTGTTTTTTGTTTGGTTTGGCTTTTAAGAGATTGGATCTTGCTGTGTTGCCCAGGTTGGCCTGGAACTCCCAAAGTCCTGGGTTTATAGGCATGAGCCACTGCACCTGGCCCAGCACTGGTGTTTTGAGGGGTAGGAAACCATAGACTTCCTGAACGTTCGAGTTGTACTTTTCTGTTCATAGAGGGAAAGACAGATTTCTGCAGTATATAACAGCACATTTTAGGTTTGAACTCCTCAAGAAGCACATTCTCACCTGAGAGGAATGATTGGAAGTCTGACCTCAGTGATACAGAGTAACTGACAATTGCAAATGTGAACTTGGTTGGGATTCTCTTACTAAATTGTTTCTAAATCGTAGTCAGCATGGTGTGCTTTTGCCCAGTGTGGGCAGCAAAGTGGGGGAAAGTTGAAAAATGTTTAAGATACTTTAGTGTTTTTAAGAGCACCATTGAATTAGATGAGGACTTGATCATTAGTTCTTAGTTTTGTCATTGGGTTTTACTTGTGTTTATTTTTTAGGTTCTTGAGTTAAAAAGTCACAGGAGAACAGATGGTGCTGAAATCAGCATTAAGATTCAGATGACAAAGATCCTGGAGCCCTCCTCTGACCTGTGCATTCCCTTCTACAACGTTGTTTTCCGTCGGTGAGAAAACAGCTGAAGTTTTATTTTCCCTTAACTTTAGTATGGGAAGCAGTGTATTTGCAGTAGTGTTCTTCAAGATGCTTGGATGGTAATACCTGACAGTGTATTCTAGATGGGTTTGGAAGCCTTTAATGAGTAAATGGGTGGCATTGAGGCTAACTTACTCAAGAGTTATCTCACAAGTGATAGGCCAGATTCAAATATATGAAATTAGGTTTGGAGGTAGCTGGATAGGGGCATGGGTTCCTCTGGATGTGTTCAGGAACTTTGAAAGCAGCTGTTGATAGTGTATATTTAATGGTGATGGTAACAAGGGGGCGACTTAAAGAGGTTGTGTGTAAAAATATTTGTTGGAAGGATTTTTTTTTTCAGTTTCCTAAATTTTTAGATTGCAGACGGCTTATAATTGTTTAACTTATTTGGAAACATCCTAATTTTCATACAGCTGCTATTCTCAGACCTCCTCTTATTTAATGAAACACAGAACCTAATTTCTACCTAGTAAGCTGAACTGCCAGGAAAATACATAATTCTGCCAGACTTACAAACTTAGCAATGGATTCTTTTGCATTCTTCTTAGTTAATAGTGAAAAGTAATGTAAATCAAACCTGGGAAATCAACTCAGTGGTTGTTCAGCTAGTAAGTGGAAAAGAGTACAGTCATTTTGCTTTCCTTTTTCAGTCAAATGCTTTGGTGACTTGGTTTTCTTTTAACAGGACGGTTCTCATTATAAAAGCTATCTTCTGCAAAGAGCACAAACATTTCTGACCTTTAAGACTTCCAAAGGCAAATGCAGCTAAGAATAAGGGAACATAATTTTATTATTCTTCTTTTAGGAAACTCATACTTGCTTTTTATTTCAGGGTAATGAAACTTTTAGATATGAAGCTTGTGGGGAGAAACTTTTATGACCCTACAAGTGCTGTGGTACTCCAGCAACACAGGTTGGTATTTTTTTCCTCTTCCTCACTTTTGAATGTTCTGGAAAGAAATTTTTCATTACAACCATTGTATTTAATACCATAATCTCAGAGGCAGTTTATGGTAGTGCATACAATTTATCAGTTAAATCTCTTCCTTTGTTTGGTAAGTTTGCAATGATGTGGATTAACTTAGCTTCCTGAGGCTTTCTCATTACTCTTAGGGAAGGGTAGTATCACCTCAAAGTATTATTCACATGGGGGCATGGAAGTATCTGTGTTCTTTGAAAACCCTACAGTTAAGACCACCTCTCTTTCCAGATTGCAGATCTGGCCAGGCTATGCAGCTAGCATCCGAAGGACAGACGGAGGGCTCTTCCTGCTGGCTGATGTCTCTCATAAGGTCATCCGGAATGACTCTGTGCTGGATGTCATGTGAGTGAGTGGTGGGACCTATCTTTAACTTGCTGATGGTTTTCTGAAATGTTCAGTAACAGCTGGTAATAATACAGATTAGACATTGTTCTGTTTGTTTGTTTTTTCCCTGAGACACAGGGTCTTGTCCTGTCACCCTGGCGGGAGTACAGTGGTTTGATCATAGCTCACTGTAACCCTGAACTGCGGGGTTCAAGTGATCCTGCCACCTCAGCCTTCTGAGTAGCCAGGACTACGGCGTGCTACCATGTCCAGCTAATTTTTAAATTTATTTTTATTTTTTGTAGAGACAGAGTCTTGCTATGTTTCCCAGGCTAGTCTTGAATTCCTGTCTTCAAGGGATCCTTCTATCTCAGGCTCCCAAAGTGTTGGGATTATAGGCATGAACCGTGGCACCTGACCCTATTTGGATTTTTAGTTATAGAATAACTGAACTGAATATATGTGTGCTTGTCCTTAAGTCCTACTGAGATAAGCATCTAAATAGACATCTGCTGTGCTTTGAGAAGGAATTTTATTTAAATTTGTGGTTGGGAGAACTTGGTTTGATATATGCACATCCTGAGTTTGCATATAATTATATACAATGTATATGTTACTGTAGTAAATACAGATGTGTATAATTTTTTTTTAATTGAGACGAAGTCTCACTCTGTCGCCCAGGCTGGACTGCAGTGGCAGGATCTCGGCTCACTGCAACCTCCGCCTTCCAAGTTCAATTGATTGTCCTGCCTCCTGCCTCAGCCTCCCAAGTAGCTGGGTTTACAGGCACCCGCCACCACCATGCCTAATTTCTTTCTTTTTTTTTTTTTTTTTTGAGACAGAGCCTCTCTCTGTCACCCAGGCTGGAGTGCAGTAGTGTGATCTCGGCTCACTGTAATCTCTGCCTCCTGGGTTCAAACTATTCTCCTGCCTCAACCTGGGACTACAGGTGCACTCCACCACATCTGGCTAATTTTTTGTATTTTAGTAGAAATGGGATTTCACCCTGTTGCCCAGGCTGGTCTGAATCTCCTGAGCTCAGGCAATTCGCCTACATTAGCCTCCCAAAGTGCTAGGATTACAGGCGTGAGCCACTGTGCCCGGCCAGATGTGTGCAATTTTTAATGGTTGCATGTCCCATCTTACACATAAGTCTCTGTACATCTGATTTTTTTAGGGCATGCACTCAGAAGTAGAATTACTTAATGGAAGGGCTGAACATTCGAAAGCCTTTTAATATATATTTAATATAATATGATAGTTAAATACATCTTGACAAATTACCCTGTAGAAGATTTATTCAGTTTCTTTTCCCATCAGCTATGTACAACCACTCGGTGTTATCAGGCTTGTAAATCTTTGATTCTCTAATCGTTTCATTCATTGCTTCAGAGTATACTTTCCAAGCTCCAGTTATGAACCAGAGTCTTAGGACCTATCAGATAGCAAAACAAAGATCCCTCCCCTCACGGAGCTTATGTTGTCACCAGGGGAGATGAACAGTAAATAATAAATATAATAAATTGTATACTTGTATTAAAAGCAGTAAGAGCCATGGAAAAATGAAAAAGTAGAGCACAGGGTCAGGGCAATCAGAAGTAGTGGGGCAAGGGGTGGAGAACTGTAGTTTCAAGTAGAGTGGTCAAGCTCATTTGAGCAAACACCTGAAAGAGGTAGGGGGTTAGCCAGGTGAATATATGGGAGGAGAAGCTTTTGGCAGGTGGACAGCTCAGACACAGACCTTAAGACAGAAAGAGGCCTGGTGCAGGTGCACGCAGGGTAGCTAGAGCCGAGTGAGCAAGCAGGGTGATGGAGGGGCAGAGCAAATGGAGGAGCTGATTACGTGGGGCTTTGTAGGGCTTTTGTGGGGGTTTTAACTTTCACTCTGAGTGAAATGCAGGACTTTGAGCAGAGCAGTGGCAAGACCCGACTTGGGTTGTAAAAGGATCCCTGTTGTTGCTATGTGGAGAATAGACTTGGCAGAGTGAGGATGGAAGTGGGAACACCAGTTAGGAGGCTGTTGTAATTGGTGGAGCTGGGAGGATGGTAGCAGGGGAGGTGGTAAGGAGTCAGATTCTGGACATCTATATTTTGAAAGTAGCGCTTAAGTCAATTTCCTCACTGCTTGTGGAGTAAGAGAAGTTGAAGATGTCTTGAACTTTTCTGTAATTATTTATTCTGTCTCTCTATGACTGTCAGCTCCTCTGGCAGAGGCTGTGTCTTTTTTGATCACACTTTACACTTAGACCTAATATAGGGCTTACCACTGTCAGAAGACACAATTATTGGCTTTTATTTACAGTTCATGAATTGGGTAACACCTTGAGGGTTCTATGAGCTGAGCAGTGGAGTTTGGCCTTATGGACAGAAAAGGACCAAGGAAGTAGAAACAGAGAAAAAAGCAGATTGGTCATTTGATACTTTCCTTGTAAAGGTTAAAGCAGAGGGAACATCTTTATCACGCTAAAACTGGCCTGTTTGGGGATTTGGCTATTATCTCTCTCTCCTGATTCCTCAGAAAGTCAGAAAAAGACCTTAGTTTCTATTTGGTGGCATGGAACTTCAGCATGAGTAACTCCATTTCAGTTTGTTCTGTTGGGCATAGTACAGGAGCCCAGACCAAGCCAATTGCCTTCTGTAAGTTTTATTTAATTGCATGTAGTAAATGTTCAAGAATAGTAAATAAAATATGTGTCTTCAGATTTACTATTTTTTTTTATGGTTTCTGCCTTTGATTTTATATATTTAGTTTTCTTGCGTGTATGTTCAGTAAATGCCTTTTCTTTTCTGCCTAGAGAGGTCTACTTAGCCAGGGATGGTCTGGTTCATGCCTGTAATCCCAGCACTTTGGGAGGCCAAGGTGGGAGAATTACTTGAGGCCAGGGGTTCAAGGCTGCAATGTGCTATGATAGTGCTACTATACCCCAGCCTGGGCAAGTGAGACCCTGTCTTCAAAAAAAAAAAAAGAACTACTTACCTTTATTTTCAATTTTTTGTTTTGTTTTTTTTTTTGAGATGGAGTTTCACCCTTGTTGCCCAGGCTTGAGTGCAATAGTGTGATCTCGGCTCAATGCAACCTCCACCTCCTGGGTTCAAGTGATTCTTCTGTCTCAGCCTCCTGAGTAACCGGGATTATAGGCATGGGCCACCACACCCTGCTAATTTTTGTATTTTTAGTAGAGGTGGTGTTTTGTTTTGTTTGTTTTTTTTTTTTTTTTTTGAGACGGAGTTTCACTCATGTTGCCCAGGCTGGAGTGCAATGGCGTGATCTCAGCTCACTGCAACCTCCGCCTCCTGGGTTCAGGCAATTCTCCTGCCTCAGCCTCCTGAGTAGCTGGGATTACAGGCACGCACCACCATGCCCAGCTAATTTTTTGTATTTTTAGTAGAGACGGGGTTTCACCATGTTGACCAGGATGGTCTCGATCTCTTGACCTCGTGATCCACCCGCCTCGGCCTCCCAAAGTGCTGGGATTACAGGCTTGAGCCACCGCGCCCGGCCAGAGGTGGTGTTTTGACATGTTGGCCAGGCTGGTCTTAAACTCCAGACCTCAGCTGATCACCCACCTCGGCTTCCCAAAGTGCCAGGATTACAGGTGTGAGTCACTGTGCCCTGCCTGTGTTCAGTGTTTTAAACCCTATGGATTTATCTTGATATGAAGTTGGGATTATCATGTTTGTCTCTGTACTATTATATAATTTATTGAAAAACATTTTTTCCACAGATTTAAATCACTACCTTATATGCTAAAATATCTGGATTTATTTCTGAACATTTCAATTTAATCCATTTGTCCAAACCAATGTGATTCTGTCTAAAATACTGTACTTTTTTTGGTTTTTGATATTTGTCAGAATTTTATTTTCAGAATTTTCAGGGTAATTGTCACCCACATATTCTTTCATTTGATCTTTTGAATAATTTAGTGAAAATAAGAAAAAAGTCAGTCAGCATTTTGATGAGCATTGGCTAGGGAGAATGTTCATGGAGTCTTCCTATTGAAAAATATGGAATGTCTTAGCCAGGCGCGGTGGCTCACGCCTGTAATCCCAGCTCTTTGGGAGGCTGAGGCGGGCGGATTACCTAAGGTCAGGAGTTGAAGACCAGCCTGGCCAACATGGTGAAACCCCGTCTTTAAAATAAATAAATAAATAAATAAATAAATAAATAAATAAATAAAAGAATGGAATGTCTTTCCATTTATTGAAATTTATTTTGTTTTGGCCAGACAGGGTGGCTCACCTTTGTAATACTGACACTTTGGGAGGCCGAGGCATGCGGATCACTTGAGGTCAGCAATTCCAGACCAGCCTGGCCAACATGGTGAAATCCTGTCTTTACTAACAATACAAAAATTAGCCGTGCATGGAGGCACACACCTGAAATTCAGCTACTTGGGAGGCTAAGGCACAAGAATTGCCTGAACCCAGGAATCAGAGGTTACAGTGGGCCAAGATCGTGCCACTGTACTCCAACCTGGGTGACGAAGTGAGACTCTGTCTACAAAAAAAAAGTCATTTGGCATGTTGATGGTCATTGACTAGGGATAATGTTCCCTGAGTCTTCCCTATTGAAAAATATGACACATCTTTCCATATTTATTGAAATTTATTTTGTTTTGGCCAGGCACAGTGGCTCACGCCTATAATCCCAGGACTTTGGGAGGCCTAGGTGTGTGGATGACTTGAGGTCAGGAGCTTGAGGCCAGCCTGGCCAACATGGTGAAATCCTATCTCTACTTAAAAAAAAAAAAAAAAGAGCTGGCCTGTAGTCCCAGCTACTCCAGAGACTGAGGCAGGAGAATCGCTTGAACCTGGGAAGCAGAGGTTGCAGTGAGCTGAGATTGTGCCAGTGCACTCCAGCCTGGACAACAAAGCAAGCCTTCGCCTAGGGGAAAAAAAGAAATGTATTTTGTTTTTATTTTCTGCACAGTTATTTATCTTGAATTAAAAAAAAAATTGCTTCCTTCCTTCCTTCCTTTCCTTCCTTTCCTTCTTCTTTCTTTGAGACATGGTCT